TAAAATTGCACCCTATCTCTAAATTTGATAAAAGAAATAGGTGGTGGTATCGCCACCGGCGATAAATGCTAAAATCCTTTTTTTAAATAAATTATTAATCTACTTGCAAACAGTCTTCTACTACAACAGTCTTCTACTAAAAACAATCCTTTTAATCTTAATTTTTTTTTTTTAAAAAAAAAAAAGACTTGCAGAATCACCAAATATATCTATTTATTAGGAAAAATGTACACTCCATTCTTCGGTGATCAACAAATCTGTGCCTTTTATAATAATTACATCAGCTGAAGTTGTAGCAGCAAAGCCAAATTGTAATTCCCGTTTGGAAAATTTTGTGCCTTCGATGCAATTTGCAAAAATATTTGTAGGTTTTACATCAAGTCCTAATACTATTATTCGTTCAACACGAACGGAATTAATTGACTTTGCATATAAATTTTTATCATTCTTAAGTAATGATAATGATTCGGAAGTAAGTGTTCTAGCTGCAAAGTTAAATTGAAGGTGAATGAAATGTCCTTTTTCGTAATCATATGTTTCGCCATCATCTAAATACAGAGAGCCCGTTGCTTCACTCTTCAATAATAATAATATATATGTTATTACCGAAGAATTAAAACAAATAAATATAAATAAAACACTCACATTTTTGTCTAATGCAATCAATAAAGTAAAAGGATCTGTACGCATGGCTGCCGAAGAACGTCGAATTCTTTGGCGCTTTGGAACAATAGATCCACCACGTAAAAAGACAGGAATCTTGTTTAATGGGGCTTCAATTTGTACTTTACCAGTTCCATGAATTTTTTTAAGAGTAAAATAATCATAATATATCTGAAAATATTCATCAAAAAATATAGTGTTAATAAAATTATCATAACTATATAATTCTATGAAAATATATCTCACCTCATTTCCTGGAAAATAGACTTCAGTAGATGTTTGACCTTGGTTTACAATAGGTTTGACAAGCAAGGAGTTACCGACAAAGAATTGATCGTCCATTGCATAAGTTTCTTCTTCTTCAGGATAAACAGTAAATATAGGTCTGATATACAATACACAATAAGACATCGAAGTTAAAGAAAGTAAACACAAATAAATGATATTACACGATACCTTATTATTGGCATCCCTGTGGTACTAGCTTCGTGGAATAGAGTATACCATAAGGGCAATAATGCATATCTTTCTCGTATTATATCACGGATATATCCTGTGTATGGATCGCCAAATAACCACGGTTCGCGTCTTTTTGTATCTATGTGAGCATGTGCACGGAAGAAAGGTTGAAAAGCCCCTACTTGGTACCATCTAACTAAGAGTTCAGGCTCAGGGTTACCAAAAAATCCACCAACATCAGCTAAAATAGCATTAGTTAGCATATATACCAAGGCATTTTTTTACAAAGCATAAGTTGTTCGATTAATATACTGTACCTCCAGAAAATGGCAATCCAGAAATACCAATAGTTAATAACATAGGAGTTGATATAGCCAAATGGTCCCATTTTGCAAAATTGTCGCCTGTCCAAATAGCACCATAACGCTGAGTACCAACAAAAAATGCACGGGATAGTACAAAAGGTCGGCGTGGTGGGTTACTGCGGTTGATGAGTCCTTTAGCAGTTGCACCATGCTACAAAAAATATTAATTACATCAATAATTTATCCTATAAAAGGATAACACAGGGAAATTTAATGAAAATTTACAAAGGTAAGTCCGTAAAGGTTGTGCAGGTTGCGATGTTCCCAACCACCATAATGAATGAGATCTTTTGGCATTGTTAATGATCTAATGCCGTAAATATAAACAGCTTATGTAAACTTTTGACCTAATAAACTTTAGAACAACATATGACCATTATCGAAGTAGTAAAGTTAAAATCTGGATGTCCCATTATTACTGTCTATTTCAATTGTAAAATCAATGTGTAAAATATAAATTCGACCTTTATTCTTTTAATATAAATACTTTTTTTCATGCTTTCATATGAACTGTCATATGTTTCTAAGATTAAAGAATTTATAAAGATATAATTTAAATACAAAATACATGACACTATAGATTAAATACTAAAACTGTTTTTTTATAAATTCACGTACGCATTTAATAATAACAAATTTTTTTTATCAAATATTCTGTTAAAAATGAAATAATACTGTTTGATAAGATACAAAATCTACTTGTAATTTATTTAATGCTTAAAATTAAGAAATAAATTTATTAAAATATGTTCTTACTCTAACTCAAACCTTAATTTAATAATAAAATACGTATCTATTTTTTGATTTAAAAATTTGTTTTATATTATACGCATTATATGAATAATCATCGGTAAAAATTATTACTATATACTTTAATTTTTACGGTGAGGTACTACATATGTAGTTAATTCTAAATTACTCTACTAAATGCTAGGAAAATGACCCTCCAAGGCTAGGTTGATTTTGTGAATAAACATTAAATTTGCCAACTATCTAGTTATCTAATTTGAATGAATTTTTTTTTATTTTATTTTGAATTTGCTGAGATTAGTTACAGATTGTATCAAGATGATATTAATTTAAACTATCTATTATATCTTGTATAACCACTTAAGTGTAGCAAATCATCTCTTAATTTTCTATTTAAAAAACTAATTTAAGTTAAACTACCATTAGTTATAGGAGGGGAAAGAGAAGGCCCAGTTTTTTTTTTTTTTTTTTTTTTTTTTTTTTAATTTTGTAGGTTTGAGATTTACAAAATAAAAAAAAAATTCATTCAAATTTGTAACTAGATGGTTGGCAAATTTAATTTTTATTCAAAAATCAACATAACCTCGGAGGGTCATTTTCCTAGCAAAGATCCCAAATATATAATTTTAAAAAAAATCAATTAAAAATATTTTAAATATTAATTTAGATCTATTATTTTTAATATAAATTTATAGTTTACATAAAGAATAACAACTTTTATTAAACAATTGAATATTAGCAATTAAACAAATATATAACTAATTATTATCTAAATTAACAAATTAAATTTATAGATCGCAGTTGGAGAATTATACTACTTTCATATAATGTTGGAATGCCGAAAGTTCCTGGTAATATTTAAAAATCATATAGTCATGATGAAAATGCCAATAGCTCGCGAACTACTAACCATTTTTAATAATTCTACCACTATTTGAACCGGAATAACTTGCTCTATATAACATTTGTTAGAAACTCAAGAAAAGTTTACTTGGTATAAAAAACTTTTTATTGTAAGCTAGCTGCATTCCACTTCAATAGAAAAAACTATATTAACTTTCGACAATTTCTACTATTAAATTTGCTATTTTTATAGCCTTTAATCGCGATTTACCGTTACCTCCTAATGTTTTTAGTTATCCAATCACCAAATACTACTGTATATTATCTTATTTAACCAACTATAACAACTATAAAAAAAATCTTCTAGACCTGTTATCTTTTATAATCTTAATTTAAAATCAAAATTTATTAAAACTACTGTAGGCTAGCATTTAGCGATAACAATAGCCATTACAGCATTATCTAAACAATTTTATTTAAGAAATGGGATATTGTATTATTAGCAAAATTGGGAACATTTATCAATACTTTTATCTTTTGGAGTATCATACAGTATTCCCCAGTACTATTCAAACTAGTCTAGGTTTTTTTAGAAAACAAGTATTGGATTAAATTGAATTAATGTAAGCCAGCATTATTGTCGCTGGCTCGTCAAACGCTAGTATTGGCTAAACGACCATTCCCATCACAGGACCAGCGTTTTTAAAGTTGGTACGGTATCAAGTGTTCTTAAATTTTACATACTGATACTGTATAGTGTAGTCGCATTGACGTAGTCTTTATTAACCCAATCCTTCTTAAATTAGAAATTATTGAAGAACTTTCTACGTACGTACGTACTTTTGAAGTTAGAAAAATATTGGTTGCTTATGTAACGTTGCATATTTAAAAGCGCTTTAATCATATCGATTTAATAAGCTACTTGAGCAATTTATTTGCACGCGAACCATTTGCAAAAGTTCATCGAAATCGTGGTCGGCTGGGCCGGAATTAATAAATTTTGCCTAAGACCACAAAATTTACTAATGAAGTCATAACCTATTTTTTAAATACAAAATGACCTGCTACGTACGTACGTACGTAAAGATATCGTGTACGCACCTAAAAAAGATTAATGCATGCGTAGTAACACAACAAATATCGATATAAATGGTAGATCAACGAACATGGGAAATTTTCGTTAGTATTTCGCAATCGAAAATTCATAACAAAATGGATCACGCAGTTTTCAAAGGCTTGACACGACAACCAAAGTGGAGTAAGTTGTTAAATGATTCTCAACTATTAATAATTCGAATTAGTTCTAGTTCATTAATTTCTTCTATATTATATTAGACATTGCGGACACTAATATTGCAAACTTTGGATCAAAAATCGAGAAAGATGCTCATTATCAGGCTGGTGCGAAAGAACAAGCGTGGGCTGATCCCAAAACGAAGGTTGGAATTGAGCCGTTAGTACAATCTTAAATATATATATAGATAGTTAAATAAACTATTTCAGGCTGAATTATTCGTTTTATCGGGGCAACATTTTCTTTTAATAGTGGTCTTTGGGTGTGGCGCATCGAGAAATTTACCGTGAAACCTTGGCCAAAAGAGAAATATGGTTGCTTTTATTCTGGCAAGCTTTAATGTTTATAAAATATTAACTGCGCTTACGTATTTATATTAAATAAAATTATATTTACTTATTACATATTATATACATTTAGGTGACAGTTACATCGTTCTTCATGTGAGCAATTAAATAAAAGAGCTTTCTTCTGTGACTAATAAATAAGCTAACATTTAATTAATTTAATTGCATATTTATTGCAACATTAAAAAGTCCTACAAGAAAAATAAAGATACCGATGCTTTGTCGCATGATATTCATTTTTGGCTTGGGTTAGAGAGTAGTCAGGTAAGGTAAGCAATTAAACCTCCCATTATAATATTTATTGTTAATTCAATGATATATCCGAATATTATGAAGGATGAAGTTGGAACTGCTGCTTATAAAACGGTGGAATTGGATGATTGTAAGTTATATTGTAATAGTCTGAGTTGAAGTCGTTTCGGTTAATTTATAATTTACTTTATAACTTTTTGCAAAAAGTTCTTGGAACTTCACCAGTTCAACATCGTGAGGTAATTAATTTGTACACTATCCTACTTGTTAGGATATTTCTTATTGAGATTTTCATTATAAATAGGTTCAAGACTGCGAATCCAGTCTTTTCTTATCTTATTTCAAAAAATTCCATGTTGAAGAAGGAGGTGTCGACACTGGCTTCAAACATAATTCACCTCATGAATACCGTCATCGACTTTTGAAAGTTAAGCTAATTGGTCGTACGATTGTAATCCGTGAAGTGCCAAAAGACTACAAGTCACTCAATTCTGGAGATGTTTTTGTGCTGGATGTGGGAACAACTCTATATCAATTGAACGGTAAAAATTCCCAAGGCGTTGAAAAAGTTAAAGCTGCAGAATTCTGTCAAGCTATTGAAAGCGATAGGAACGGATTGACTAATACTGTTGTTATTGGTAAGCCCAGTTTTATACAGTGGAGTTATTTGATCAAATAAGAGTAATCCATGTAAATAATCTTTTCTTATAGATGAGGGGGATAGAGAAATGAACAAATTTTGGGAAGCACTTGGATGTGAAGGTCCAATTAAACCTGCATCTGAAGATACTGGTGCAGACATCTCTGGCGCTCAAAAGAAACTATTTAGGTAATTCATTATTCCACTTTTATCTATGGTAAAACAACTCTAACAATGCCACATAACTATAATATATACGTTGTTTTCAATTCATCATTAAGAGTTGAGCGCCGTACATACAAAACGCTTCAAATTAATGCGTCATTTTTTATATTTTAATTTGATAGAGTAAGTGATGCTTCAGGAACTTTGAAGTTCACCGAAGAAGCGACCGGCACCATCAAAATATCCCATTTCGATACTAAGGACGTATTTGTGTTTGACGTAGGACATGAAGGTTCGTTTCTTACATTAGATTTTTTTACATTAATTGTTACGTGTAAATAATTATGGACTTTTAAAAAATATGATAGTTTTTATCTGGATTGGTCTTCAATCCACAATCACGGAAAAGAAATATTCCTTGCATTATGCTCAAGTACGTATAAATAAATTTTTCAAATAAACAGTATTACACAATTCTAACCTTTTTGGTATAATAGGAATATGTTAAAAAGTACAATCGTCCAGTATTTACTCCAATCACCCGTATCATGGAAGGTGGCGAAAATGATGTTTTCACAAAGTGTTTGGATGTATAATTGACTTTCTAAATTGTAATTTCAGAATTTCATATACTTTTATTTATTTTGAAAATTTATATTTGATTATAACTTATTGCAAATAAAAGGTGTTGGGTTATACCTAACATCGAAAAAAAATGATTATTAGTAAAGAATTACATACCATTTGATTATGTAACATAGTATCTTTCCCCGTTCATAACTAGTTTTCATTTTAATAAATCGAAGTTTCATATCAAGTTAAAATATAAAATAATAGCAATAAAGGCGAATCATTCTTTGCAAGAACCTACATGCAATAAGAAAATGTTTTTTAAGGTCATCCTTAAAATGATGTAACACCAGATTCTGCAATTTAAAGGTATAAGATATTTACCTAACGACCTTATCATGAAATAGATGGATTTTAGGAGAAGGAATCGATCAACTAATTACTGTAAGCAAAAAATCCATCAACATTTGAAAGCATTATCAACAAACATTATCACTTTTTTTAATTATTAACCTAAATTTCCAGCACCAAATCTTTTTATGAGTTCTCTTTCAATTTGTGGATAAATTTCATCACTTGTACGTCCATAAAAAGTAATTAATATATTGCGTTTCGTATAATACTCTAATAATGGCTCAGTTAAAGCTCTATGTTTTTGAAGACGAATCTTGAATGTCTCCTTTTATAAATAAATATATAATTAGTGGTTATAATTATGAATAACGGATTCGCATAAAATAAACTTACAGGATTATCATCAGAACGTTTTGTCAATTTTTCTCCAGTAATGTCATCAATGCCGTTAATTTTTGGAGGATTATAGCTTAAATTATAGACGCGCCCAGATGGTACATGTACCCATCGATCTGAAAATAATTATTTATTAAGTATTCTACTTTAATACCATAAAAAAAAAATATATATTCACGTACCCATTATTCGCTGTAATATTACTTCTTCTGGCACATTTAGATTAATTACTAAATTTAATGATCGATTCGTCATGGCTAATCTATCATCCAAAGCCACAGCTTGATTAATAGTTCGAGGGAAGCCATCCAACAACCAATTCTTTTATTACATGTTAGATACATGAATACACATTGAACTATAATAAAATTTCAATTCTATTATAAAGAAGTACCTGTTGTTTATTCTGAAGCTCTTTGGTAATGAGCTCAATCATGATATCATCCGATACATAGGCTATTTACTCGAACATAAGAAAAAAAAACTTAGTTCATTATAAAAAACTTATTACACTTATTATATTACATTATATAAAATTATACCATTAGAAATGATTTTTTGCTTTTTCAACCTTGTCGTTTAGATTCGAGCCCGCGACCAAGTTACGTGAAACACTGACTCACCTCCACGTTCAATTTCCTTGGCAGCGATTTTACCAATTTTTGTTCCACGAGCTATATTTTGACGAAGGATATCCCCGCTCGATATAACAGAAATATTAAACTTTTTTTGTATGCGGGAGGACTGAGTTCCCTTACCGGAACCCTTGATAAATTATGAAAAAGAAATAACATTATATAACAAATTTTATATAATGAATTTTTGGATAATGTTTTCCCTTCCAAGCAAGTAGCATACCGGACTGCCAAGTAGCAACAATCTCATGGGCAACCCATCTTTCATAGATAAACGGTTCACAAAATTAGAGCCATGAAACAGTCTGCTTAAACCCATCATAGTGAAAGGAACATGAATAGGTTTAAACCATCCACCTGGTTGTTTAGTCAAAACACGATGACTCTTAAGAAAATGCATCATCTTCAGAGTAACGGTAACTGGTGAAAAATTTTTAATTTATGCATGTTAACCCTTTTATCATATGAAATATAAACTTTAATTTTCATGTGGAACATGTTTTATTACCTTTTTTATCATACTAACTAATTCCTTGAGAACTATGAGATAGGTAGGTAGGTAGACTTATGCGGTTCTTTAAGTCCAATGTTCTTGTCTATAAGTCCAGTGGAACAAAGTTGGCTCAAATACCCGACACTGTCAGGAATTGTAAAACGGGTTTAAATCGTGTTAGCAAAGCCCCATGATATTCTCAACTTCTACTCGTAAAAAACGACGTAAACCACTTATAACTGGCGTGTTAAGTCTGTCATTAAATGACGGGACACATAGCAATTTTAAAAGTATTAGACTCGTTATTCAATTATGGGTTTAAAACTTAATCAGTTATAGTAATCTAATTACGTTAAAGGTCTAAAACCCAATAAGCAATAGCTGTCCCAACGTGCATAATTCTAGATAAAATACATTATGCACACGCATCCTTTAGGGTAGGGTGTACGTAGATCATTTTTCATATGATCTACGTGGTATATTAGATTTTTATATAGTAAATAAAAAAACG